GCTATCGACCATCTATTTGTTATCAATTTCACTAACATATATGGAATCATTTTGGCCGCAATAGTCTCATGTATGTGCCAACAGAGTTGTTGCGTTTTTTGTCTCTATGTGCTAACAGTTTTGGCAGCACCAAAGCATGTTTCCTGTACTGTAGCGTTTCTGCACACAGTTTCTGTTGCCAAGGTCTGCGTAGTCAGAAATTGTTTGCTGGGTATTTATAAAAGACTGTCAAAAGATGTCTTCCTTTGCTTTGCAATCTTTCTTTGAATCCTTCAAGTCGTATATTACGCTGATTTGTTAAAGATTATTACCAAAGACTGCAACGAACAAGACGTGTTAGCCGCACGATATCTTCTAACCTACACTAAGACGTGCCAAGCACGGTATCTATTGCCCTTTCAACGAGACGTACAAGATTACCCTTTTTACTCAATTCCTTGACTTGCACGGACCTTAATTCTGAGAACAACTATTCAAAGAAAACTGCTCCAGACGGTTTACATCATCTCACAAGTTTTGCTACCCGCTTATAAGAATTGTAATTCCGCTTTTCAGATCATTACGAAAAATAAAACTGTTAAAACTCACTCTCACAACGTAATTCTCTCTTTTCAAACAGGCACGAAATAACTACAAACTGTATACTTTGAAGTAGAAAATTAATTCAGAAAACGGAAGAAACAAATTTTACATAAAAATCAGACTCCGGCAATACCTCCGATCGTGGTGAGCGCAAACTGTTTTATCGCGGCGTGGTCGTTTCGCGCCGGCAACATCTCCGATATTTCTTTTATTAAACTGTTTTTAAACTTGGCACTAAATAACTAGAAACTATATACTTTAAATGTATGTTAGAAAATTAATTCAGAAAACGGATTTTTTTCGTATTGGTAACACCTCCGATATAACTTTTTTCAATAAACTAATTTGAAACTTTGCACAAAATAAATACACACTATATACTTTAACTTTATGAAGTAAAAAATTAAAACTTAATAAAATAAAAATTAATAAACTATATACTTTAACTGTGTATGAAGTAAACAATTAAAAATTAATAAATTATAAATTGATTTAATACTACAAAATCTTCTTTTTTTATAAGACTTTGACAAAATTAAATAATACTACAAAATACAAAATGTGTGATATCTCGAAAAACTTACCTTTTCAATAAAAGATAAAAACAAATGCCACGTACACACACAACACGTATTGTACAATATTTAAATTAATAAATTAAAAATTGATTTAATACTACAAACAATTCTTTTTCTATAAAACCTGTTTTACAACATTATATACTTCAAAACATCCTTTTTTACTACAAAAATTTTTTTTTCTAAAATGTTTTTACAAAATACAAGAAGTTTCTTCTCTATAAAAATGATTTACAAAATAATATATACTACAAATCATTCTTTCTCTAAAAACCTATTTTACAAAAGAAGTGATATCAAGAAGTAGCACTAAAGTAGCAATAAACTTTTGTATGTTATTACATATTAAAAAACAGTATATAATAAAAAACAATATTGAATAGAAATACAGTTTACAATAACGTACTTGTGTCAAAAGTAAGACTTGGCCTTAA